AATTGTTGGATGTATATTTATTCAAGATAAGGACGCACCCGAGTTTTCCTTGCAGGAACCTTTCTATATGAATCAATTGCGATTAGATTTACCCATTAACGTCTTACGTCCCGGAAGAATTTGGGGTTCTTATCGACACTTTGCGTTATCACTACCAGAACCGAGGCCTGTGCAATGCGGTTACGTCGTTCAAGGGGTACGTTAATATTTTCATTCGAAACAAAAAATGTGTATAAACATTTACCTAATTCCTTGTCAAGTGTATGCATCTTCAATTTTTGAACATACTTCTTTTTATATTGAATTATGTGGCATGCAAATTTTCATATCAATAAGAATGAGTTGAAATTAAATTCCATGATATTCTAAGCGATCTGAGTTTGATTAAAATATTATTCATTATTGCTCCGTATTTATTGAAATTACATTAATTATAAAAATTAATTTCTATCAGATTCGAGGTGATTTGAGTACATTTCGTTGCGTCGAAGGACGTGCATCTCCGGAAATCAAGCCTGAAAATCTTATACGTATAGTTTATGCAGCACTGAATTTTAAAGATGCGATGATAGCTACTGGGAAACTTGCTCTGAATCCCTCTGCATCGATTGAACGAAATGTTGATTCATTAATAGGTCTCGAATTTGTCGGTTTTGATGAGAATAGACGGCGAATAATGGGAATATGCCCAAACAGGTGTTATACTATCACTTAAATTGCCAAAATTATTATACCGAAAATATAAATACTTATGATGATATTATATTGATTGACCTTCAATTCTGAAATTAATACAATTTTTTAGTTTTTTTTCCAGTATCGAAGAAAAAAACGTTAACTTGATTTATACCATTAAATATTTCAGAGGAATATCAAATATACAAATTCACGACGATATCGTATCCTGGGTTANAATAATGGGAATATGCCCAAACAGGTGTTATACTATCACTTAAATTGCCAAAATTATTATACCGAAAATATAAATACTTATGATGATATTATATTGATTGACCTTCAATTCTGAAATTAATACAATTTTTTAGTTTTTTTTCCAGTATCGAAGAAAAAAACGTTAACTTGATTTATACCATTAAATATTTCAGAGGAATATCAAATATACAAATTCACGACGATATCGTATCCTGG